TGCCACAGGTCAGGAAATGTTCAGGAAAAAAAGTATTCAAAGACAGGGAAAAGTCAGGGATTTCACCTTGAGTCAGGGAAAATAGACATTTGAAGAAAAGTCAGGGAATAATCTACCATTGAAGGATGGAAGAAATATTTGGGGTCACTGTGATCTCAATAATGGTTTTCCTTAATGACGAAGGAAAATTGGTTGAAAACTTGTCAGTTTTAATGAACGAGTGGAAAGAACGGTTGTAAGTTCAGGCTAGAAGCCTCTACTAGATCTGACATTTTGTATCTATTTGGTAAGGGAAATTTGATTTTTACCGGGGAATAGTCAGGGAATTTTGAAAAGTGATGTCTGTGGTAACCAAGCAACAGTTAATTGCCCGCCCTTATTCCCAAGGTAGTCCCTCTTTCGTTATTTTTGTACACATCCATTTCTTCCGCGGCTAATGTTACCTCGCGCACTCTGTGAATATTTTCGTGGAGATGCAAATGCACGTAAAGCCGTTCAGGGAGTTCCCGAGAGGAAAATCCTGGTCACAGGATCGGCTATTTATAGGTCTCCTGCGATTTGCGAAACCGGCAGTAAACTAAAAATAAAGGATTACCTCAGGAGTAAGGTCTGCATGGAGGATTTTACTTGTTTACTCCTCGTCCTCTCTTACCCTTGCCCCATGGAAACGGACGATGAAACAAATAATGTAAATAACGTAAATAAACATGACAAGGTTAAAAATCCCACCTGGTAGCAGGCAAACCAGTTAGTTGGCTATCTATAAACGTGGCCGAGGAGTTGAACTCGGAACTACAGAGAANCTGGTCACGGTTACTTTTCCCTTGTTAAAATTAGTTGTGGCGATATTTTGGCCAGCAATCTCGAAACCGAGCCTGCAATTATTTCTCCCCTCTCAATTTCGCTAAAACCAAGGCCATCACGAGTTAGTTTACAGTTTCTGCGACTGGGATATATCGCCTAAGGTCTTGGAAATCAAGCCGAAGTTGGTCAAAATCAAGGTGCGCGTTAGCCGGTCTCCGCTACTTTTTCAGTGTTAAAATTAAGAGGTGCTCTATTTTGGTCAGCAAGCTCGAAAAGGAGCGTGCAATTATTTTTCACCTGTCGATTTCACTGAAAAGCTAGGCCATTACGAGTTAGTTTAAAGTCCCTGGGTCTTGGAAATATTAACCAGGCGCTTGCAAATCGGGTCTAAGTAGATCAAAATCATGGTGTGCGTAGCCCGGTCTCTGCGTCTTTAACTAAGTTTAACAGGGGCTATATTTCGGGCAGCATGCACATAACTAAGCTTGCGATTATTTTTCCTCTGTCGATCTCCCTAAAGGACAAGGTCTTCTCGAGTTACTTGGAAATATCGTCCAAATTCTTGGAAATCGACCATAAGTAGGTAAGTAGTAAGTAGTAAGTTTAACAGGGGCTATATTTCAGCCAGTATTCACATAACCAAGCTTACCATTATTTTTTCCCTCTCGATTTCACTGAAGAACAATGTGTTCTCGAGTTAGTTTTAAGTCCTTGGGAAACGGAAATATCGTCCAAGCTCTTGGAAATCGAATGGAATTAGGTCAAAATCCAAATGTGCGCAGCTCGGTCTCTGCGTTTTTACAGTGTCTAAGTAAGTTTGATAGGGGCTATATTTTGCCCAGCATGCACATAACCAAGCTTGCGATTATTCTCCTCTGTCGATTTCAGTGATGGACAAGGTCTTCTCGAGTTAATTTAAAGTCCCTGAGACACGGAAATATCGTCCAAGCTCTTGGAAATCGGGTCTAAGTAAGTCAAAATCCAGGTGAGCTTAGCCCGGTCTCTGCAACTTTTCAGTGTCTAAGTAAGTTTAACAGCTATGGGTTATATCATGTTTTGGGCAACATGCACACAACCTAGGATGCGATTATTTTTCCTCTGTCGATTTTACTGAAGGGGAAGGTCTTCTCTAGTTAGTTTAAGGTCCCCTGGGCTTGCAAATATCGAGCAAGCTCTTGGAAATCAAGTGTAAGTACGTCAAAATCAATATTGGCGCAGCCCGGTCTTTTCTTATTTCTAGTGTCTGAGTAAGTTTGACAGGGGCTTTATTATGGCCAGCATGTATATAACCAAGCTTTCGATTATTTTTGGCTTGTCGATTTTACCGAAGGACAAGGTCTCTTAGATAGGGAAGAGCGCGAGTGACGTCATAACTCAGACATACTTAAAGAAACAAAACGGAATGGTGGAAGATTTGACGCTTTTTCAAGCGCGTAAGCAAGTGTTCCTAAAACAATTTTTAAAACGAAAATTTGGCGTTCAGTTTTCCTCCCGTTTCTTTCAGAAAACGCCTATGTTGTCTGACTCTCGTGGGGTTCCAATAATTTGTATTCTATTTTAGACTTCGCGCGGGGGCAGGCCTCGGAAATATCGTCCCAGCTCTTGGAATTTAAGTCTAAGTAGGTCAAAGTCAAATTTTTGTGCGGCCCGGTCTTTGCTTATTTCTAGTGTCTGAATAAGTTTAATAGGGGATATATTTCAGCCAGCATCCACATGACCAACTTTCGATTATTTTTATGTCGTCGATTTCATTGAAGGACAAGGTCTTCTCGAGTTAGTTTTAATAAGTTCCTGGGACTCGGAAACATCGACCAATCTCGTGGAAATCAAGAGTTAGTACGTGGAAATCAAAGTCCGCACAACCCGGTCTCTGTTTCTTTCCCGTGTCTGAGTAAGGGGCTATATCTCGTCCAGCATGCACATAACCAAGCTTTCGATTATTTTTTGCTTTTCGATTTTCCTGAAGGACAAGGTCCTCTTGAGTTAGTTTAAAGTCCCTATGACTCGGAAATACCGTCAAAGGTCTTGGGGTTAGGGTTACGCAAACTTTGATTTTGACCTACTTAGGCTTGATTTCCAAGAGCTTGCACGATATTTCCGTGTCTTTGGGACTTCAGACTAACTCGCGAACACCTTGAAATAACAAAGGTCAAAACAATTGCAAGCATAATCATTTGCATGGTGGCCAAAATATAGGCCCTTTGGGATTACTGAGGCACTGGAAAGAAGTAGAGACGGGCTGTGCTCCATTTTATTTTGAACTCATAAGGTTCTATTGCCGAGAGCTTGGACGTCTTGTTTGTTTTTTGAGGGTCAGGGACTTTAAACTCACTCGAGAAAACCTTGTCTTTCTGTGAAATCGACAAACGAAAACTAATCGCAAGCTTTGTTGCGTGCATGATGGGAAAAAGACAGGCCCTTTTGGACTTACTGAGGCACTGGAAGTAAGCAGAGACCGGGCTGCGCACATTTTGATTATGACCTACTTAGGCTTGATTCGCAATAGGTTGGATGATATTTTCGAGTCCCACGGTCTTGAAACTAACTAGCTAAGACCTTGAAGTCGACAAGCGAAAAATAACCGCAAGGTTGGTTATGTACATGGTGGCCAAAACATAGGCCCTTTGGACCTACTGAGGCACTAGAAAGAAGCAGAGACCGAGCTGCGTACATTTGATTCGCAAGAGCTTGGACGTTATTTCCGAGTTTCAGGAACTTGGACCTAAATTGTACAGACCTTGTCCTTAAGTTAAATCGATATGCTAAAAGTAATCGCTCGCTTTGTGATTTGTATAGTGGCCAAAATAAAGGCCATTTTGTCCTAGCATGTGTTTCAAGCGTGCACCCGTTGAAAAAGTTGGGGGTTTTAATTATCGCGGACTCCAGTTTTCACTTGTCTACACGTATCCGCACACGTTCCTTGGCAGGGGTTGCTGCGCAAGGTGGAAGTCACTCTGGCATGCAGTGCCAATATTTGATGTGAGGGGTCGAAAAACGGGCTTTTAGATGCTTTGGTGTAATATGTTATGCCACATCGATTTTGGTAACTGAAGTCGTATACAGTAGCAACAGAAAAATTTCTTTACTTGAGCCAAGAAAAGAATGATAGAAGTAATGATATGATCGGGTCCAGGCAAAGATTAAGTACTCTATCTGATACACTCGAACTGTCCATTGATAATGTTCCGATTGAACAAGTTCCTCTGTGAAATCACTTGGAGTATATATCAACGAAAATCTAACGTAGCATTCCCACATTGATAAACTGTGTAAAAAGATCGCTTCTGCAATTGGAGCCATAAAGCGTGTTAAGCCATTTGAGCCTCAATCTACCCTACTCTGCATATACAATCCGCTAGTTCAACCTGACTTTGATTACTGCAGCCTAGCCTGGGGTAATTGTGACAGGAGTAGTAATTTCATCGGGCTATGACGCTGATGTCGATTCCTTGTTTCACATACTCAGCTGGAAAGACTTGCAATCTCAACGTCAAATTCAGAAAGCCCAAATGGTTTTCAAGTCTTTAAACGGTCTGGTTCCTGAATATCTCACTTCTAAATTTGTAACGCGAAATGAAACAAATTATGCTCTGACAGACTCGGTTAACAAACTTGTCGTTCCCTTTCCGAGAACTAACTATATGAAAAATAGTTTTAGTTACAGCGACGCAACCCTTTTGAACAGCTTACCCTGTAACATTAGAGATTTTAATTCATTAAATCGATTTAAACGCTTTCTCTATCATAATTTTTAAACACAAGGCATTCATAGAAATCAGGTTTATAAGTAGAATATTGCTGTAAGCTAATATAATATTAGGATTAGAATTTGAGGTTTAGGATCTTAGACATTTTATCGGGATTTATTGTACCTGGTGAATTTTTAACCGTGTATAAATAATGATTAAAGAAAGATATTCATAAGTTTTCATAGGGTAGAAATTCAAAAAGAAAATCTAGAGGAAGGGTGAACTTGCCGTCCATTCCTAAACTATTAAATTAAAGAATAAGAAAACGTTGTGAAATGTGAGAAGTTGAAACCATAGTGCGTTTGGGGATATCCGTGAATTATGACGTTGAGAAAAGACTGTAAGTTTTGCTATATTTTCAGTTGTGTTTTGTTCCTTAGCTGGGACACGAAGGCGTATTCAGGTGATGATTGATTACATCATCCATAATAATAAGTTTCAGAAGACTTGATTCTTCGAACCGTCCTTTAATGAATACTTTTCACTAGTCTGTCCTCTTTACAGGAAATATTATCCAAATCTGTAACTAATAGTTTATTGGTGCGTTTCGTCTATTTTTCCATTCCTACATGCGCAGATCTTATACTCTTATTTGGTTGGAACCACTGTTTAAGGACTTCTCTTTCTTCGCAGAATGTCTTTTGGGGAGAACCCTAGGTTTAGAAACTCTTCTGGACCATCATGGGCCACGTCACTCGACTGCTTAACAGCACCTGTTAAAAAAACATGAAATTAATGTTTCTTCATGACAACACAACCAGGTCATGAACATCTCCAAAAGTTCGCCGATAATATTATAGAGTGAATGGAATTTAAAGCGCTGCAGGGAAATAACTAAAGAGAGTATATAAATAATGGATGTAACGAGACTTCCTAAACTGTAAAAATGATCCTTAGATTATCACATCTCTGAGGCTAGTATCTTGGAAGATGAAAAAATATTATTCAATGCAAAAAAAGGTTCAGTGTGAAAGATTATGTCAAATTCTACTACTAAGAAAAGGAAAATCATCAACATGTAGCTCATTTAATTCTTTAATACTGTCACTACAAGTGAGATGAAGTAATTGACAGTCTTTGAGGACTATTAAATGTTAAAAAAAAGAAACAATAAAGCCATTGGAGATACCCAAACTTATTTAAGAGACTTTGCTCCCCCGGCCAGAGATTCTGGATTGTATATAACGTCGATTGTGGATAGAAGTTGCAAGTTTTAAAAATAGGCCTTACAGTTGGGCGATTTGAGATAAGTTTATCCATTTTTGTTTTGTTAAACCATGCAAAGTATATCTCAATAGTAATAGCTGATACTCCTCAAGATATCGATGTCAGTTACCTAGCCGGGTGGACAGGTCTTACAAAGAAAAATACAGTCGGGATTCAACATTAAATAGCTACAAAAAGCAGAATATTTGGAAGAAGACTAATGAAAGACTAATGAAAGTATGAACGAGGAAATAAAAATGCAAAAAACAGCAACGCTAAAACATGAAAATTAACAATTACAAATACTAATATAAAGGGAAGATTAAGACTTGAGAATTTGCTGCGTCACTCAGTATTCCTTTTTGAACGTAATTCTGAGAGCTGAGAGCCTACTTTATTGGGTATTATTTTATTTTGTCCTTGTAAAAACTATTTATTTTAAGGCTAGAAAACAAAAAAGAATTGTGAAATTTCGCAAATCATGATACGCAATTTTTTACACAATACTGGTAATGACTCCCTTTTCTTATTCGCTTAACAAAATGTGATATCAAGAAACAAGAGAAAATACATGGAACTCTCTCGAAGCGGAGCGACGTCGATTTGCCGCTAACCTCTTTTAGCTTGAAGTTACTGTAATGTACAAAAGAGTAATTTTCTTATAGCAGAGATCGTATTCTTTTAAGACTCTCACCCTCTTGTTAGTTTTCAAAGATTCAGAGTAATTGGGAAGTTAAGGGAGGGTAATAAGGTGTTTGTTTTGATGTTAATCTGGAACATATATCAAATTGGTAGGCGTGTCAACTTCATTGATAAGTTTATTCTAGATGTGAAAAGGAAAACAGAAATACCTAAAATACACTTTGAAAAGGAAACACGAGGTTAACTCTATAACGTTCCCTTGAACAATAACATTAAAATATGTTATATAAAAGCTATGGTAACAATGATGGGACAAGATACACTAGAGCCACTTTTACAAGAAAAATAACCCGCAGGCGAACTGAACAGTTATACGAGCGCGACTTATATAAGACGCGAGGCGCTCGTTTAAACGTTTCGCGGCTTATTCGCGACTAATGCCTCGCTTTTGTTTTGATTGTTATAGCAGTCGCGGAATTGCGCTAGCGGCCTCATGAGCGTGGGAAAAACCTGCGCTTGCGCAGTGTGAGTTCGCGTCTTACACAAACAAGCCGCGATACTAGTTATACGAGTAGTTGGGCGTTTTGTATAAACCGCGGTTTATTTAGGCCGAGCTCAAAATCCTCGTCTCACCGAAGCCGCGGCTTATGTAAGCAACGGCTTGTATAAGGCGTGCACGGGTTAAAATGTACCGTATACACGGCAAGTTCGTGCTTTATGTAAGCCGTGTTCGCGGACAAATATCCGTGCATATTTTCGCCCCAAATGGAGTCTATTGTTTATATAAATTACCCTTATATCTCTAATAGGTCTATAGGCCGTATTGACTAAGGAATGGCAGCAAAGCACTTACCTGGAATGGTTATCTTGTACACATAGTTGGCTTCAGTATCCCGGCCTCCACACAATTTAGAACCACTACCACACGGTTGGCTTGCGTTTTTGCCCTCAAAACACTTGTCTGATGAACCAAACTTGTCAAAATTCGTTATTTCAGGACTGCTGCGCACACAAAGTCCTAAAGGGAGGTAAATATCGATGTGAAAATGATGCTAAATACACCTATTTACTATGCATACTGCTACTGACGGGAAGTGACGTCAACCAACTGATAAACCAGTAATGTGCTAAACTTGGCTGGGTATTACTGTCATTAACCCTAAATTTAATAATGATAATAATAATAATACAAATTTATTTAAAGAAGATCTTTATTCATAAACGTAAAGCTTGACTGTAGTGCTTTTTGTTGTTCGTTGTTGTAAATTAGAATTTCATGATAGAACATGAGTAGTATTGAACGTTAAACATTAAACTATTGAGAATTATTCCCTAACCAATATCTCTGACTCCAAAATACTCCCATCCATTTTGTTTTGCGACTCGTGCGCATCTGCAGAGGAATTCTGGGAAGTCCACTTCGTACTTCTCACTAAACTGAAGCATATTTCCAGCGAAGTTCGGTTTGTCTGGCGCCGCTTCATTATGGAAAATATCTTTCATGACGAGGTGGTATTTGTTTTCTTTGTAACAACCCACAGGATTGATTTCTACTTCACAGGAGCCATCCTCTGTAGGAGAGATAAAATCAAAAAGATATAAGGAAGAAAGAAAGAAATTAAAAAAAGAAAGAAAGGAAGGAAGGAAGGAAGAGAGAGACAGACAGAGAGAGAGACAGAGAAAGAAAGAAAAAAAGAAGGAAAAAAAGAAGGAAAGAAAGACAGAAAGAAAGACAGACAGACAGACAGAAAGAGAAATTTCTGAACAGTGACTGTCTTACTTATTTTGTAGACGTAGTTTGCTGAATGCTTGCCCGAACAGAACTTGTTGTATTTCGTACATGGCTGGAAGCACTGGTTAGTACATCTAGAGCTGATACCATCTCGATCATACATGTATGCTAGCGTCCTGTCACCGCTCCAACACTCTCCTGTAGGAAAATGCTCAGTTATCTATCTATGGGTTTATTTCGTTATTTCTATCTTTGCTTATCTTTTTGATAATATGTTTAAAATTTCTTTTTTAATTTAATTGGTGACTTGTATGATCACGCTCTTGTTGTTGTTTTTTTTTTAAACTTCTTTACAGGTATGTTCCTGGTAAAGGGCTAACAGGTGTAAGGAGAGTTTATGCATGAAAAAAAAACATACTTGCTTTCTACAGATTTCTTTGAGTTCATTTTATTTTGCTAATCTTGTATTACGAAAAAAGAAAATAATTATTTCTCACCATAAAATTGCATGCCGAAGAAGGTGTAATTTTTTTCCTTGGCTTTGAGTGCGCATCTACAGGCAAAGTCTGGCACATAGACATCCCAGTTTCGCCAGTCAATCCTCTGTCCACTGAATGTTGGATGCCTGGGATCTCGATCGTTGGTAAGATACTCTGGTAGTGGTCTAGCTGAGACTATGTGGTTATCTTTAAAACATCCAATCTTCTCGAAAGCTACAAGGGGGCAGCTGATGTCCACTGTAACCAATGAAAAGAATGTCGAGATTATTAAATGAAGCATTAAGTTAAGAGTGTGAAAAGAAGGGCATAAAACCGAAGGTAGTCCGTGTGATCACCATCGTATGTTTTAAGCTCGTAAGAAGCGCACAGAGACCATGCAGTAAGAAGAACTTACATACTGAGATGACCTGAGATCAGGGATTAATGATGATACATACCGATCTGATACACCATGTTGCGCAGGTGTTTACCCATACAAAAGCGAGTATTTTTTTGACATGGCTGGTAATCATCTTCAATACAACCATGTTTATCTTCGCCGTGCTTTGCATAGTTGTCATGGTCGCTGTGACCAGCCCAGCATTCCCCTAGTTGAAAGAAAAGGTAGCATAATTATTTGTTATTATTTTTATAGGGTTTATTTTTATTTTCCTATTGAGAGCAATCAATTCTTGATACGAAACAAAACTGTTATTGGAAGAACTGCTTATACTATAGAGAAACGGTAATTGAAAAGGTCTTAAACTTACCGTAAAACTGAAGACCGAAAAGATCGTACCCTAAATGCTTCGCCTTCTGTGCACAGCGGCAAGCAAATCCCGGATAATATTCATTCCAGTTAAACCAGTCGATCTTTCTACCACCATAGTTCTTGATGGAGGGATCACGCTCGTTGTATATGTAATTGGGCAGAGCTCTGTGGTGCTGAGAATTCAAGGGCGACACACGTTTCAGCTTCTTATAATTTCTAACTAACAGAAACATTATTGCTAAATGGATTGCACATCCTGCGGCCAGCTGCCTTGATGCATTTATGTTGAAGATTTTGATTGAGATGAGCTGTCACTGGCTAAGCAAAGAATAAGTTCCAAACTAAACATAAATCAAAGAAATAAACTAGTGGAAGCCACATCAACCGACGATGGATACCTGGACTTACAGACTTAGAGACTGGACTTCCAGACTTAACCTAGAGGGTCTCAATAGGGTGGTGGCTTTTCCAGATAACAGTTAGTAATTTGTCTTTTTCACGGCTCACGGTTAATTTATTTTTGTTACGGTTAATATAACTCTTGGAAATTAATTACCGTTGGTTGAAAATTAAAATTAGTTTTCATCGATTGCTATAAAACAAATTTAAGGTCTTTAGACCGGGCATTCCGGGATTGAAAAAGGTATCTTTACAAGAATCGTAGACTAATATAGTTACAACTAAGTCTACTGGCTTTTCCCTGTCCTACCAAACCACAAGACAAGGCACAGAAAAGCTTTGACAAGAGATCTTGAGACTTGAGACACATTCGCAGTTTCCTATTTGTCTGGTCTGTTTTACTCCGCTGAGACCCTCTTTATAATGAAATAAACGTCAGCATTTGTCTGGTTTCAATCTAAAACGGGTTGTGATAACAGTATACACTGCTGAGCCACAGAGTAAGCAAAAAGTACAGCACTATCTCTCAAGTAAATTTTTCACGGAAATATGCCAGGAATTTTCTCGAGGAAAAGAAAAATTGTTTTAGCTTGCTTTACCCAGCAACCCTAAGGATTTAGCCAGGACTCGATAATGCTAACTCTAAGACGTTTTCAGTTTTTCTGAACGACTGTATTCATCGTACGGAACTAGGCTTAGATCGGTAAACGTGCGCCCTGAACATGAACTAATTAGTGACTTATCCGAACTGAGAGTAACTTACATGTAAATTCCCATCCTTGCTGATTTTACTACTTAGGAATTGTGTGAATGATGAAAGTAGATCTGAACTGGTGGTTATACACCGAATACAAATATGGCGGACCACTCGGTCGGCGCCCGGGACGAGTCGCATGAAAGCGAGGCTAGTCAGGCTTTGATGTTTTGTTTTGGCAATGCTTCCCCAAAAAAGTCTTGCTTCGTCGTCGATCTGGTCTGTTTTATTTACCTGTGGCTACGAGCTGCTGCGTTTCTGAACGCGACGAGAAGGGATATAAATTTTCCACCGTTCGCCTCTTGAGCTTCGGGAAAATAGTGGATCAATGGAATTCGTTGAGACGAAGGAAAAGAGTTCACGATCGCCGCAGGAACTAAAGTTTGTTCGCTACATTTCACATTAGAAGATCTTAGAAAAATCGTTTAAATGACGAGCTTATGTGGTGTCTGGNAAGCCTGCATGGCTGTTGCTTAAGAACTGCACAAATTAAATAGTGATGAAGAGAACTGATAGCGTTCACGTGAAGCCACTGAGGTCTTAAAATGAATGGGCTGAAACAAATTCCCCTTTCACTTGCTTTGAATACCCTCTAAAAATCCCTATTTAAACCAAGCCACCCTCCCGCAAACCGCACCAAAAAAAAAACATTGTCAAATTTTCCTCCCCAAAAAATACCGGAATCGAAAATTTCAAACCCAAAAAATTCTCCGATTCAGCATCATTGGAAAGACCTCTTTGACGAGGAAGAGTTTATTCTTTCGTTTTTGCGAGACTGTTACTCACCCAGTTCCCTGACTCCGAAATACTCCCAGCCATTTATTTGTGCCTTACGTGCGCATCTGCAGAGGAATTCTGGGAAGTCCACTTCATACTTCTCACTAAACTGAAGCATATTTCCAGCGAAGTTCGGTTTGTCTGGCGCCGCTTCATTATAGAAAATACCTGGCATAGCGAGGTTCTTTTTGTTTTCTTTGTAACAACCCACAGGACTGATATTTACTTCACACGAGCCGTCCCCTAAAGAAAAAAAATTAGAGAAAAAAGGGTTTGTACTTTTTTACGGACAGACCACCTCGAGAACTGAGACGATAGTCACCTGAGTTAAAAATAAATTATTTTACACGATAGAAAGAAAAAACGAATACCGAGTTTTATCAAATGGTCTTTCTTACTTATCCTATAGACGTAGTTGGCAAAGCCTGTCCCAGAGCAGAACGGACTGCTTTTGGTACAGGGCATGAAACATTGGTCAATACAGCGACTTCCACTGATTCCATCTCTATAATATGTCAGATGACTGTCTGGGCCGCTCCAGCACTCTCCTGTAAGAAAATCGGTAGAGAAAATTGATCTATCAACAGAAAAATAGGTGTCACCGAACGTCCAAGATCGTTAAATCCAGGCAAAGCTATAGCAATGGCCATCTGCCCTATCATTGTTCATTTTATTGCTTGGCGCGTGCTCTCATGCATGACGTGGCGTGTGATATTTGCGTGCGCAGCATTGTGAGCAGTAAGGATGCGCAGAAGCAATTAGGGCGAACGTCCTTAAAAATATAAAGCAAAGAAGTAAAAATATGTAAAGTATGAAAATATAAAAAAGAGGTAAGGGTTAGAGTTAAGAAGTAAGTAAAAGAAGGGGTGAGGGTTATGCTGCACATAAAAACGTTAAGCTTGATAATGACCGAAGTTCGGTCGAAACGTCGCGCGCTCTTACCGTTATTTTTTACTTCAAATTATTTTAAAAAACCTTTACTTATAAAAAAGGCACACATCAAACTTACAGAATCGATCCAGCCGTAGCAAATGGCAGAGGAACACACTAGTAATAATAACTTCGCCTTTTTTTTTTTCGGTAGCTTTTTCAAAACTAGTCAAAGTCAAAAATTATATTCATAAATGATGGACTTTTGTCCACAGCATTTATTATTATCTGTTTCTCATTTAGATTGAATTGAACTTAATTTTATGGTGTGTCTTTGTCAGAACGCCTACAGTGCATCTTCCCAGCAGTTCCCTTTTGGTCTGAGATCATACTCGCGAGGCGATCCCCTTTGAAGTCCTAGAGTCATGTTGCCTATCTTCTTCGTGTCATGTGGCACATAAGGCCTACCTAGAGTCATACAGCATGTTAATTTACATAACATATCTGCGCTTTTCAACATTTATTCGAGTTCACTTCCTTACATTTTAGGACTATTTCCAGGAATATTTGTTTACGTAAAATTGTTATAGTAATACCACAGATCACTGTTTTTATCACCTGTGATTGAGCATTTTTCTTAAGCTAATATTGTTTCTCTTACCGTAAAATTGCATGCCGAAGAAGGTGTAATTCTTGGCTTTGGCTTTAGCTGCACACCTACAGGCAAAATCCGGTACATACACATCCCAATTTCGCCAATCAATTCGCTTTCCACTGAATCCGGTTTTTACGGTGGGGTCTCGATCGTTGGAAATATATTCTGGCAGTGGTCTGGCTAATTTGCTGTGGAGATCTCTAAAACAACCAACCCTCTCGAAAGCAACCGTAGGGCAGCTCGTGTCCTCTGTAACAACAAAGATTTTTTCACACTTGAATACGTGTCCATGAAATAAGTACATTTTGTAGCTGACGCTAAGCGCAGGAAAATGTGCGCGAGTAAGTCACAACTGACTTGGGTTTTACTTCTGATTGGATGACAAAGTGGCATGAATGTAGCGTAGTAAAGCAAAACCAATGATTTGTCGATACTCAAGCGAAAATCGCTCAATAGCTTACGTCTGTGTCAGATATGTTCATGCGAATATATTGAATTTAAACTCCACAGGCGAAATGCTCAAAAGCAGTTTCATTCACGCATTGTTCAAGGCAGATTGAATAATCTTTTTAAGGGAGGTGGTAAGCTTACATGTCTACGTGTGTTCTTCTAATGAGCAAGCTTGAGACTCTTACCTTGCTGGCAACTAATACACTCTGGCTTAAATAGAATAACATTATTAGCTAGAATAGAATAATATTATTAGCTGTAATTAATATAGTTCTCATTTATACACGTTCGTATTTTGAACGAGTTCTTAGCTCCTCGATGAAACGTGTTAAAATAAATGATTGATTGAGTGGTTGATTGATTGATTAGCTTCACTTTTCACCCTTCACTCTTCACTCTCCACCCTTCACCCTCCACCTTTCCACCCTCCACCCTCCACCCTCCACCCTCCACTCTCCACTCTCCACCCTACACTCTCCACTATTCCAATCACCCTCCCCATCTCTTCCACTTCGGTGTACTAAAGTGCTTAAGACGAGCAAGAAGAACTTACATGTTCAAGCAGGTTACAATGAAATATGATAATACTTACCAATCCGATACACCATGTTGCGCCATTGTTTACCCATACAGAAGCGTGACCCTTCATGGCATTCCTGATAGTCATCTTGTAAACAGCCTTTCATATCTGCCCCGTGCTTTTTGTAGTCATGTTGATTACTGTTACCAGCCCAACACTCTCCTAATTGCCAAAAACGTGACACGATCATTGAATTTTTAATAGAAGGGAAAATTTGGTAAAACACGGCGTCATGTTGAATGAGCTCCCAATAAGTTTCTCTTCTTTCCTCTTACAATCTGGAACAACTATTACTAATGGTAATAGGACTGAGTGGAGTCCAATTCGGTCTGTAATCATACGAGTGATAAACAAAATCGAACGACTGCGAAGCGGGAGTCCGATTTGTTAATCACGAGTATGATTACAGACTGAATTGGACGNATTGAGCGCTGAACGATTAAACGTCGTTATTAATGCTGAAAAACACAGCAGTTTACTCAACAAAGTGCACCGCAACAGCGCGCACAAAATGACGCGTACTGTCTAATTACAAGCATGACGCGTATACACTGTCCAATTAATGCTCAAATCGGGCCGCTGATAGCCAATCACGTTCGAGAATGTTGTTACAGTTTTGATTAACATAAAAACACGTGCACTAAAATCATACAGAGTATCATGAAGAGTGTTATTGATAAGTTCTTTTTCACATACCTTTAGAAGACTCGATGGAGTGTTTTAGAAATACAGATACGAAAGGAGTCCAGGACTCATGGGCTCCTGATCAGATGAATCCAGAAAAATATTTTCTAATCTGGGTCAAACTGAACTTTGAAAAAGGTTCTTTGTGAAAGGGAAGCTTATGTGAAGAGAGAGAAGTCAGCGTCCGTACCCTTTAATTCGCAGGCAAAATCCCAGACAACAAAATTAACCTACACAATACGACGGTATTTTTATCCAGTTATGGGGTGCCCAAATAAACAGGGATGACAAGTCTGTGATGGTAGGTCTGCATGTAGTGTGCATGTGTTCATGACGTGACGATCTGCTTGTTGTCTGTTTGCAGTGATTCTACTGTATAGAGCGTATTTCATTTGAGTGTGATCGTTATAATGAATACAGAAGAGTGCACGCGGCAATACAAAACACGTACATAATGGAAGAAAACTACTGGGAATACGTCCATGTAAACAAAACGCACGAATTAAGGAACAGACCACAAGTCTCTATGGTTTATAGGCTAATAAACCACGCGGGATGTCGGAAGAACACGAAAAGAATTCGTAAATCACTAGCCTGCGGCTCGTGATTTACGAATTCCTCGAGTGTTCTTTCAACATCTCAAGTGGTTTATCAGCCTATAGACCATAGAAACTTGTGGTCTATTGCTTTTATATAATAATTCAGAAGACACGCTGAATTTCCATGAGTTTATTGGCACAATAAATCATAGCTGATTGACCAGTCAGAGCGCGCGCATAGATTTGATTATTATATAAATGTATATAAATTCTGTATTACTTTCATTTTCAACTGCTTGTGATAATTTTGCTACTCTCGATTGAATTTGAACTTATAAAACCACAACCATCGCTCTTGACCATGTGAAAGAAGTCGTGAAACAATTTTAAAAAACCCCTCAAATCTGGATGATATCTCTCCGATATAGTGTTTACGTGAGGCCTTAGCCAATGTTAGCGTAATTCTTCAAAATAAATAAGATCTCTAAATTCTGAAATCGCAGCCATCCGCAGAGTCCCTTTAACGACACAAAGTATTTTCCATCATGAAAGATCTTTTAACAACTGGAAGGTAGTTAGTTATAGCTATAATTTATGGAGGGACAATGACCGCTAATTGTGAGAACCACCACTGAAGACCGCCTCGCGATTCGTTTTTAAATTACTACTGCATGTAGTTAAGGTGGCTCCATGGGGTAATCATTTATGGCGTTGCGCTCGCCAGTGTTATGTTTTGAATGCTGTTTTTGCATTCGCTTTCACACTCAGTCCTTTCAAACTTATTACATGTAATAACGAATGATTAAATAGTGTTTTGCTATCATCTCTGTTAAAATTTTGGGCTTTAGTCTTGAATTATAAATGCCCAAACAAATGTGTTTTGTACTGTTTGTGTGGCTTTATCTGTGATTTTCTTGAATTTTCTTCGGTGAAATCTTCCAAACTTTTTACAACACATCGCTTTCAGCGGGATGCGAATTTTAAACACGAAAAAAGGGAGGGTTTGTAAAGGCAGTTTAATCGATTTTTTCAAATTTATGTCTTTTACTGCTGCAAAAAGTCTGGTCTTATAGATTTCCCGGTAAAACGAGCTCCGACTGAAGTAAAATATTTACTACCAATCTGCCAAATTTTACGGAATTTCACCGAAGGAAATGCGAGAAAATTCACTGTCAGTTTTGCTTTTTGTGCTCATGTTGACGTCAGAAAATATCCAAAAACACTGACGTTTTCCTTCGAGCGCGCGCAAATTACTGAGCTTTCGTCCTCAGCGCGCGTACGATAGTAAAACTATAGGTAGCCACCTTAAACCGTTATACTTTGTAATAAAAAAGGATGCAAAATTTCTGACTAGATTAGGGAAAAGAATAGTCTTTTTTTATGTATATAATTGTCGTCGCGTCCTGAGGCTGACATACTCATTTAAATACTTGGGCATTTGTCGGCAAGAGACACTCATTGAAACAGGCACGCGCGCTAGTTAAATAAAATCATTAAACTTACCGTAAAACTGAAGACCGAAAAGATCGTACCCTAACTGCATCGCCTTCTGTGCACAGCGGCAAGCAAATCCCGGATAATATTCGTTCCAGTTAAACCAGTCGATCTTTCTACCACCATAGTTCTTGATGGAGGGATCACGCTCGTTGTATATGTAATTGGGCAGAGCTCTGTTGGACTGAGAATTTAAGAGACACACATACTTTGTCTTATCGTGTCTAGTGCACCAAATCCTCTCTTTCGTCCCACCAATTCAGCTACACGGTAGTACAAGAGAACCTATAATTTACCATTCTTATAAGATGGACATCTCTGATCGTAATATCGATCTAACTTGAACCTAATGCGGGCTATATCTTAAGTCTAATGTGGGTTATACCGTATCTTTGTAGCATCCTATTGTTGTGAAGTCGACCTCGCACTTCACCCCACGACAGAGGTTTCCAGCAACATGACCTATCGAGCAGAAACCATGGAAAAATGACAGATATTAGTCTAAAAATTGGAAAGTTAGTAGTACAATGCTTCTTTGCTAAATACAAAGCTATGGCCAGATTTGGTCCCGGGTTCGATTGGAAGGTAAGTAAAGTAACCTGTCGTTTAATTTCTTGGCGTGTCTAAGCGCCCAACAATCTAAGCCCTTAGAGTAAAAGTCGAGTAAAAGATTTTAGTGCTGCGAGAAACAAATCATATGCCATTATTCATAGGCTTAGGGGCTGAAAGTGACCGGGGAGCGGAGAGGGGGACTGCAGCCTAACCTCAGTTTCGAACATTTTTGAAATATTTCTGGCAAAACACGGAGCGACAGGGTGTAACCTTCCAAAAGATTTCAAGTCTTGTTGGCTACTTTCCCTGACGTTTGCCTTGCCTGTTTCTCAGTGTTCCTTGCCTGTTTCTGTTTCGGAAAGCATCAAATGGGTTAAATGTGTATCGAGAAAATACACGATATGGGTATTACTTCCATTTCCAATTTCCCACCTTCAACAAAACAATGACAAGAGAATCAAAGCCAAAGAATACTTTGCTTTGTGTGGGGCCTCTAAAAAGAACTGTTTAGAACGGCTCGCCAAAGAGCCGTTTTCAACTTTTTCTTGAAATTTTCATACGAGGAAGAAATAACTTTTTTCTTTTATAATTTCTGATTTTACCATGCCGTCGATCGAGGTCATAGAGTATGCGAGGGTTCAAATTAACTATTTTTAAAATTATAAAAGTTTCACTAGACGTGAGAATTGGGGACGTTTTTCTCTTTACTGGAATTTGAGTGCATTTGTATTCTGAATTCAATACTCACGCATTCAGGCATGGTATTTCTTTTCNCCCCCCCCCCTTCCAAGTGCGTAGGTGTCTGTACAGCTATGTCATTATTCAACTTTGATAGGGTGAGTTTTCGACTTACTGACAGACGCCAACCACAGAAGTACAGTCAAGGTTTTCATTCTCAAGACAGGAGGTCAGCTTCTGTAAGAAAAAAAAAA